GGCATGCGTCTCCGCGCCGCTTCCTGGGCGCCTGCTCCCTGCCTTCCCAGGCACCTGCAGAGAGGGGCTGCGCCGGCCAGCACGGGTTAGGGCTGGCGCGCCCCGGTGGAGGCATTTAAGGTGGATCTAGGAGCCAGGAGTGCATAGACAAGAGGAGAGCTTAGTCGCAGTGGAAGAAGCACTAGTGTGAGATGGGCTGAGTGTGATGTATCCACGGATGGGCAGAAACCCAGTGTGGCAGGAGCCTGGTGCATGAGACAGGAGGTCCTGTGGGCTATGGGAGGCCATGCCAGACACACAGGCCAGGTAGCACTGAGGTTCTTGGTTGAATTATGTCCCCAGGAAAGATACATTGAAGTCCTAACCTCCTGTCCCCAGGAGTAGACCTTATTTGGAAATAGTGTCTTTGCAGATGTAAAGAGGAGGTCACTGGAGTGGGTCTTCATCCAGGAACTAGCTTCCTCATGAGAAGGGGAAAAGCTGTGTGAGACGGAGATATTCAGAGAGGTCGTTTTACATATTTTTGTTGTTGTTTGTTTTTCGAGACCAGGTCTCACTATGTCTTCCATGCTGGCCTTAAACTCACTCTGTAGCCCAGGTTGACCCAAGTCAAGGCAATCCTTCTGCCTCAGCCTCCCAAGTGCTGGGATTACAGGTGTGGGCCACCACACCCAGCAGGAATGAACTTGCATTTTTTTAAAATGTCACTAAATTCAAATGGTACTTTGGCCTCTCTAAGGGAAGGTCTATGCACATCTAAGTTACTGTGGTGTGATTCATAATGCAGCAGGTCCTTTATTTGGAAGTACGTGGGGCCCCTGATGGGTGCAGCATGCCTTTTGGGCCATGTGCAGCCCTCTGGAATGTGACTCCTTTTCCTTTTCCAGGAGGATCTGACCCCTGTGAGCATCAGGAACCTCTTTCTGCCCCGCAGACAGTGGCAGCCACAAGGGCCCGGCATCTCTCCCTGGAACCTGGCTCTCACTTTTGCATAGTAGATTGGGGAATATGGCTTAGGTTTGACCCGATTGCCATTTCTGGGAGGGCAGTGGTATTGCTGAGTGGCCGAAAGAAGCTCCAGTCTTAGGTCCTGCTGTTGTCTCTGTGACCTCGGGAGAGTCCTTGGAGCTCCTCCAACCTCAGATTTATCATCTGCAAAGGTCAAGGTCATGGGGGGACCTAGTTGCAGATTTGTGGTGCTCATGAATTTGTGCAGCTCCTGGCACACGGTGTGCACTTGGCCCTTCTCACCGCCATCCATTGGTTATGCTGGTGGCCGGGTCCCGGTGGGAAAGTGCATCTCAAGTTCCCAGCAATCAGTTTCCATCTGGGGCTTTCACACAGGGCTTGCTTGGGTCAGAGCCTTGTCTTTGCATCTCCCACAGATATGGTTGTGCATGTGGTCACATGCTGTCTTTCTCCTAAGGGCACAAGTTTGGAAATATCTGTGTGGCTTTGGAAGCTAGGGGAAACAAATTCTGAGAGAGGCTGAGTTTTTATCTGTAACTGACCTTGAATGTGCGAGTGGACAGAGACACAAAGCCGGCTGTGTGAGCGCTGGTGGGCTCTTCTCTCTGTGCCACCTGGACCTCTGCTTATCAGTCAGTGAACATTTGCTGCCTCTGCCTTCTCGAGAGTCAGGCTTTCTATAAACTTGCAGGGATTTTACCTTCCTGGAATGGGCATCTGCAATGGGATTTCATCATTCGTCCTGTGACAAATGAATCTCTAGCGCTGTGTGTTAATTTAAAGGTGGGGCTAGCCATGCACAGTGGCACATGCCTGTAAATCTAGCACTTTGGGAAGCCTAGGCAGGAGGCTCTGTCTCAGTGTTTGAGCGCAGACAGGGCAGTTTAGCAACTTAATGAGACCAGCTCTCAAAGGTAAAAAGGGCTGGGCATGTGGTTTAGTGAAAAGGCCCTGGGTTCATTCCCCAGTACTACATATAAAAAATAAATAGTTGAAAAATAAAGTTGGTGTTGACCGCTGTGACCATTGGAATTGGAACTCTGCTCCTAAGAGTGCAGAAGATACCTGGCTCACAGCAGGTCTGGGGTTCTAGGGCTGTTGACCTCCTTAATTAACCCAACCTCTCTTCCTCCACCCTAGAGTGGGGATGAGTCAGCTGAGCTGTGTGTTCACCTGCAGGAAGGGTGGAGATGGGAGACGATGGCACAGATCTTCGCATATCCTGGTGGACTCTGCGCTTCTGCACGGTGTTGTTCCCTATGCATTTAGGGAGTGAGTGGTCAAGTCAAAGATTAGCCCAAGAAAGACCCCAGGGAGATTGCAGTGTTCCTGGCTATCACTGTGTGTGGTCTTCTCCAGCTAACCAAGGGCCAGTCAGCACACAGACAGTGAGGAAGCTGGTTTGTATCGATCCTTCATATTTAGTTGGGGCAGGGC